TTTAGTTTTAAAAGATGATTCTGTTATCTCTGTAGAAAATGATCTGATGTGGGCAAGGGCAGGATCAGAGACAGGGAGACCTATTAGCAAACTATAGCAGTTGTCCAAAACCAAGGTGGTGCAGTGGTGGCTTGGTGAGCAGGCCAGTGAGGGGTGGGGGGAGCCCTGAGGCGTGGGTGTGTTCCAGTGCCACTCGGGGAGTCTGGCAGGAGAGGAGTCTGTCAACTTGGATTTCTCCCAGCATCAGAATTTCCTTTGCTTGTAACAAATACAAACCCCTAGCATCACAAGAGACCTCAGAAATTTTTGTATTAACTTTTCTGCATTCGGGTGCCGTGATTTCATTCAGTGGTGGACAGAGCAGGTAGGTGGTTCCCAGGGATTTCCTAGCTGAGTAGTGAGGTGGAGAATTGGGGTCCGCTCTCCTGTCTTCATTGTATTCCGATGAAAGTTTGCCATTTTTAGGTAGTTGACAGAAATTTGATAATATTTTTAAGAAGTGTAAGGAAAAATGTTGATAAATGATTGCACTGAATCAAACATATGGGATGCTGTTAGGGCATGTTTAATAATATAATGCTTTTTTAATAAAGAGGAAGATAATTCCTTCAGAAGAGAACTGCTTCCAGCCACGATTCTTCTGTCCTATGATTGGTCTTTAGTGCCCTCTACTGGCTGCTTTGTCTAAAGCAACATCTTCATCTTGACTTGATTATTATTATTAAATCATAGCTGTTGTACATTAATGCAGTCATGGGGTACAATGTGCTGGTTTTATATACAATCTGAAATACTTTCATCAAACTGGTCAACATAAACTTCATGGCATTTTCTTAGTTATTGTGTTAAGACATTTATATTCTACACTGAGTAAATTTCACATGTACCCTTGTAAAATGCGCCGTAGGTGTGGTCCCACCAATTACCCTCCCTCCCCCCATCCTCCCCCCTCCTTTCCCTCCCTCTCCCCTTTCCCCTTCTTCTTGGGCTATAATTGGGTTATAGCTCTCATTAAGAAAGCTATAAATTGGTTTCATAGTAAGACTGAGTACATTGGATACTTTTTCTTCCATTCTTGAGATACTTTGCTAAGAAGAATATGTTCCAGCTCCATCCATGTAAACATGAAGGAGGTAAAGTCTCCATCTTTCTTTAAGGCTGTATAATATTCCATGGTGTACGTATATCACAATGTATTAATCTATTTGTGGGTCAATGGGCACTTGGGTTTCTTCCATGATTTAGCAATTATGAATTGGGCTGCAATAAACATTCTGGTACAAATATCTTTGTTATAATGTGATTTTTGGTCTTCTGGATATATACCTAGTAGAGGAATTATAGGATCAAATTCATCTTGACTCTTTTTTTTTTTTTTGAGACAGAGCCTCAAGCTGTCCCCCTGGGTAGAGTGCAGTGGCATCACAGCTCACAACAACCTCTAACTCCTGGGCTCAAGCGAGTCTCCTGCCTCAGCCTCCCAAGTACCTGGGACCACAGGCACCCGCCACAACACCCGGCTATTTTTTGGTTGCAGCCATCATTGTTGTTTGGCGGGCCCTGGCTGGATTCGAACCCACCACCTTAGGTGTATGTGGCTGGCGCCTTAGCCACTTGAGCCACAGGCGCCGAGCCTCATCTTGACTCTTGATCACAGTGTTCCTTACCGAAAGAAGAAACATTAGAGATTTAAAAATTACAGTGAAAGGGGATGAAAGTCAGTGGAGACTTTGAGATTCGTTTTTGGGGTGCTGCCTTTGACAGCAGATATGCTAAAATGGGAAAAATAGAAAGACGGTGCCGTGGCCCGTGAGCAAAGATTGCGTGCAAATTCATGAAGCATCCCATATTTTAAAAATATGTATTCGCCTGAGGGGGGCCCTGAGGAATTGGGTAGGAGGTCTTGAAAAAAACCTTTCAAACATTTTGTTTGATGTAACATGCATATGATACGGTAGACTGTATTTTCAGAAGTAGACTCTTCTGACGGGAAGCAGCCTGAGGCAGGCTGGGTTTTGAGCACTTTTGATGTAGCAGAAACTCAAGAATAGCAGCCGCCCAGTAGGCATCAGCAGCTGCTGTTTCTCCACAGCGTGGCTGCTACATGTGACGGCCATGGAAAGAAATGACTGTTACTCATTAAAGCAACTCCATTCAGCTGGGTGGGAAATGGCACAGTCAGAAAAGTCATCCTAGAAAATGAAGTGGCCATTAAATAGAAAGGGGCATCTTCGGAGGTCAATGGTTTGTCCCCCCCCACCCCCCCCCACCAAGTGACAAAGAAGCTGCCTTTGGGTTTTCTCCTGCAGGGAGAGGGATATCAGTGTTGAGAATCACCAGAGGTCTGCACTTGAATAAAGTTGAGTAAGCAGACATACCTGTCACTAGTTTGAGGTCTAGAGAAGACTGTACTTTGTATAAATAAGTGCTCACTGTGACTTTCCTGAAATAAGAGAGATCTGTTAATCTTTCAAGAGTAGAACTCTTATTTCCATTTCCCCCTGCTCAATCTTCCTTGGGTGTACTTTTAACTATTATTTCAGTAGGTTGCATTTTGAAAACACTCATGCATTTGGGTTAGAAATAATACAGTAGACCCCCTGTAAGTTGACCATCCAACGGACTATAACCCATTGACTTACGGAGGTGTTGACGTAAGGAACTAGGCCTACCATACGTGTGGTGCGTGTCTGGTCTGTGAAAATTAGGTGAACTTGAGGAGGTTGTGGGAAGGGGTCAAGGTTAATTCAGTGCCATGTGAAGCTGCAGAGATTGTTCACAACTGTCTTAGTGAAATCCCTTGTTTTCTTTTGGGATATTTTACTGTTGCCGTTTTCGCTAAGAAAGTTTAGTCATTGTGAAGTAACGCCAGACACTCTGTGTGTGTGTTTCATGAAAGGACTAAGCTATTAATTAGTTTCCCTTCCCCCCTAATAAAAAAGCCTTTCATCAAAAACTGACGTCCTGAATGAAGGAGATAATTGTACAGCTTATTTATTAGCATGTCAGACTTAAAATGTAATGGTTTCATATTTCAGAATGGAAAGTGTGTCGTGATTCATGGTTGCCAGTGACGAAGCAGACAGCTCCTTTATCCTGATGCCCGGTCGCCCGCTGGTGGGCCCAGCCTCCCGTCTCTCCTCTCCTCTTCCTGTGCAAGAGCTCCCTCTACTTGAAAATGTCGGCATAATTAGGGTTTAACACATGTACTTTATTAGCGAGTGGCCGTGACTGTTTTGTTACCTTTTAATCTTCATAATTATGTGGTTTTGCACATCAGAGCATGTAAGAAATTTACCAAGAGTCTCTTGACTTGGGAATAGACAAGGCAAGGTTGGTTGAGCAAAGCAGGATGTTACGTCGGAAGGCACTCTTCAAGGAATAAGCTATGTAGCTTGATTTAAATATGGTATATTTGGTTAAAATTACATGCAGTACTTTGAAAATGAATCCTCCTGTCTCAAACACAGAGGCATAGAAAACTGGATCAGAAAACTTCAAAAGAACTGTCGGCAACTTCAAACAGACTGTCGCCGGGAACTTGGCAAATCCTCATTTTGCTAATTCTAAAGTTTCATAATTCTAACAAAAGACCTAGCGGTTTCTCTCTGCGCTCTCTGGAAGGGTGGAATAGCAGTTAGAGTCTCAGGCTCCCTGTTACTGCAGCTTCCCCTTCTGGAACCACGTGTCTGTGATGAAACGGCGGGAGCAACCCAGACAGACCAGAGCAGGTGCTGCTGGGAGTGGGATTTAATTATTTTTTTTTCCCTGAGGCTAAGTTTGAAGTTTAGTAACAGTGCCATATTCCTCCACCATTAAGACACATTTGGAGGCGCTCCTTGGCTGTGAGATGTCCAGGTGGATGTTTCTTTCTTTCTTCTCCACACACTACTCTTGGTGTCCAGCTGCAGGGAGCAGAGCTCAGTGGTCGAGAGTCAAGACTGCAGGGCTGGACTGCCCGGTAGAATCGTGGCTCTGCTACCTGTCAGTTGGGTGATATTGGCCAGTTCTTTAAGTTTCTGAGCTTTGTTTTCCTCCTCCATAAAATACAGGCAAAACGTAATGTCCCTGCATCCTGGAGTTGTTGTAAGGATTATTAGATGAATTCATGATGGTCAAGCTTGACGCACAGTAAGTGCAGATAGCAGTTTGTTGACTAAAATAAAGAACAGCGGTGAAGTTATAAATTGGTTTTTATTAATCAAAGGTATTTGTTGACTGTCAACTTATCTTCAGTGCTTACTGAAAAGAGATACGGAGATAAGTGAGTTTGCATGGTGATTTTGCATATGAATTCATACTTATTTTCTATATATTAAAATAGTTTGGACCTAGGGGTACCAGGTCATAATTTTAGGTGATGTTATTTTTAAAAATGTTTTTTAATGCAGTGGAATATTCTGTGGTTTCCATGTCTTTTTCTGGACGTTAGTGGTTTTGTAGAAAGATTAAATTTATATTAGGGGTCATAATTTTAGATTATGTTATTGTAAAAAAATATTTTAATGCAGTGGAATGTTCCGTGGTTTCCGTGTCTTTTCTGGACTGTAGTGGTTTTGTAGAAAGATTCTGTACTCGTAAATACATAGGAGTGGAGTATCATATTATATTCATGATTATATCCATGTTTTTCTCAGAGCCTGCCATGGCCCAACAGGAGTAATCAATGGATCTGTCTTTGGTCTATAGCGTGACTATGCTTGAGAACATCAAAAAATCTTGTCCAACTGTTCCCAGACCTCTTGTGGTCTAACGAAATGTGAGACAGTTACTATAAAGTTAAAAAAAGAAACTTAAGCATTCAGGCATGCAGTTGAAATTATTAGATTATATTTTCACCTTGATACAAAATATTTGCATACTTTAATTTTTTTTTTCATGTTTGGAAGAATATCACCAGAATGCTGAACCCGTGAAGTTCGTGAGTCAGTGTAAGTGGTCTTACGCCTGGATGTGTACTTCAGGGAGCTGACACTTCTTTCTTCTTTCATTGATTCTAGGACCCTTTGGATCCCACAAGATCAGTGATCGTGATCCGTTCCCTGGTAGCAGATGGAGTAGCAGAAAGAAGTGGTGGGCTCCTCCCTGGGGACCGCTTGGTCTCAGTCAACGAGTACTGTCTGGACAACAGCACACTCGCCGAAGCAGTGGAGGTCTTGAAAGCTGTGCCACCAGGCACTGTGTACCTTGGCATCTGTAAGCCTTTGGTGGTGAGTGTTGAATCTTGTTAATATAGGGCAACGCCTGTGGCTCAGTGAGTAGGGCATTGGCTCCATATACTGAGGATGACGGGTTCGAGCCCAGCCCTGGCCGAACCGAACCAAAAAATAACCAGGCGTTGTGGCTGGTGCCTGTAGTCCCAGCTACTTGGGAGGCTGAGGCAAGAGAATCGCCTAAGCCCAGGAGTTGGAGGTTGCTGTGAGCTGTGACACCACGAAACTCTACCGAGTCAATAAAGTGAGACTCTATCGCTACAAAAAAAAAAAAATAAAGAAGAATTTTGTTAATATAGGAAATGATAATAGTATAATAATTAAGAATGTGGATTTTGCAGACAAATGTACCTGGCCTCAAAATCTGTTTCACTACTTACTATGTATATGACCTGGCAACGTTCTTTAATGTCTTTTACTTAGAAAATGTGGGAAAAAATAAGGTCTACCTTATAGGGTTTTGCAGACTAAAGAAGATTATATTCATGAAGTACATAGCACGTTGTTGTATAAATGTTAACTGCTAATGTTACCAGTCCTCCCACCGCCCCTTTTCCTGCTATTTTCATCTTCGTGCTTTTATCCCAGACTTTTAAGTTGTCATTTCTTGTGTATAAATGAAAATCAATAGTTTTATGTCTTTAAACTCTCATTTGGGAGTGATGGTGGAGATGGTGTGGTAAATTGAAATCCAGGTAACCCTATCATTTTAACTGTGTGAAAATGAGATCTAATCCACCTTTCTGACCATTAAAACACCTGGAACCCCCGAATGGTCAAGCACCCTAAAATCATCCCATCACTTTCTCTCCTTTCTCTCACGTCCTAGGCCAGGTTACCGTTTATGACTGAAGCTATATTACAGTTCTGGTGTTGCTGAGGTCCCCAAGGCAAAAACATATTTGATGATGATAATTTCCAGCCATTCTTAAAGTATTATCAGTGCTCATTAAATGCCAGTTGTTCTTTTAAGCTCTTTATGTGTATTAGCTAATTTAATCCTCACAGGAATTTTAAGGGGCAAGGCTCAGAGAGCTGAGTAACTTATCCGAGATTACGTGACTATTAATAGTAAGGGCAGAAAGGTAACACGAGCTCAGCAGGTGCCTCTGGCCACAGGGCTGCACCTGTGTTCCTGTTATGTGTTACGTGTTTAGTTTGTACACAGCTTGTCAGATGAAACAGCTTGGTTGTAATAGATTGTTGATCTGGTTTCAGGACTACCCTCTGTTTCTAGCTTTCTTTTAAGTTGTCCTGGGGGACTTCAACCTTATAGATTATAATATATGTAAGTATCACCCGGGCGATAGTTAAAATGAGGTTTCCCGGGTCCCATCCCAGAGACTGAGATGTAGCAATTCTGATGTGTGATTCAGGAATCCACCTCTTCAATGGGTCACCTGTGTAATTCTGATGCAGAATTTTACACTGTGAGAAGCATGGTACTAGTAATTTGATCACCGGGTCTGCCACTCTTCTTCTGAGTTTACTTTTTTCATTTCTGAAAAGACTAGATAGGGCGGCGCCTGTGGCTCAGTGAGGAGGGTGCCGGCCCCATATACCAAGGGTGATGGGTTCGAACCCTGTCCTGGCCAAGCTGCAACAAAAAATAGCCGGGCGTTATGGTGGGCACCTATAGTCCCAGCTACTCGGAAGGCTGAGGCAAGAGAATCTCCTAAGCCCAAGAGCTGGAGGTTGCTGTGAGCTGTGATGTTACAGCACTCTACTGAGGGTGACAAAGTGAGACTCTGCCCCCCCCCCAAAAAAAAAGATTAGACAAAACCAGAGAACTTATAAGGTATTTCTTAATTCTGTAATTCTTTTTTTTTTTGTTTGTTCTTTTGTGAGACAGTCTCACTATATTGCCCTTGGCAGAATGCTCTGGTATCACAGCTCACAGCAACATCAAACTCCTAGGCTTAAGCGATCCTCTTGCCTCAGCCTCCCAAGTAGCTGGGACTACAGGCACATGCCCCAACACTGGGCTATTTGTAGAGACGAGGTCTTGCTCTGGCTCAGACTGGTCTCGAACTTGTGAGCTTCAGGCAATCCACCCACTTCAGCCTCCCAAGTGCTAGGATTATAGGCTTGAGCCACCTCGCCCGGCCAACTCCATAATTCTTTTATTACATTAAATACTTTATTATAACACATGAAAAGTCTACTACAAGTAAGTATTCACATAGAGGAAAGGATGGATGGCCATATGTTCCTATCTAGGTTAATACCGAGATTCTTATATTGCACGTGGCATCTTTGCCTTAGTCAAAGCCAGTGTGGTCTTCGTGTGTTACATGAAGATGCCTGGGTGTCACGCCTCGCAGGGACTTTAAATGTGTCAAAATGGAATATGGTACATAGCTCAGTCAAGTTCTTGACTTTTTGTGTGTTTGGCGTGGGCGTTGCCGTAGCTCACAGATGATGAGATGCTTGATTGATTTTCTGAGAAGTTAAGGCAGGGAGGACTATTAATCCCTTTATGGGGCCGCATCTAATTAGTATTTGGAGTTGTAGGAGACACATGTGGCTATTCCCTGATGACCAGCTTAGTGGCTGGATGGGGCCACATGAATCAGCCCCCGTCCTGCCAGACTTCAGAGGCACAACCTTCACGTCCAGCCATTTTTGGAACTCTCAGGCAGTGTGAACCATGGGGCTTGGGACCGAGTGGGTGTGGGTTCCTGTGCCGTTTCTGGTGGAGGAAGAGCTGCAGCCACAGCTTCAGTGTGAGGGTGTTTTGCAGCATAGGAATTGTGGGCTGGGACTTTGCCCAGGCTCCGCTCAGCGAGTCCCAGACTGCTACAGCCACACCAGTAAAGAGGTTGAGAGGAAGGTCACACACGACTTTTTTTTTTCCTTTTAACACTAAGTAATCTTTCTTTAGCATGTGGGCTCTTTTAGCAGGACCCCTCAAGGATAGTAAACAGTGATTCTCTAAAGTCTCTGCCTGTGTCCCTCTCTGTTACTGTAAAATCGGTGGTTACTTGTCTGATTGTCAAGGTGGAAACTTACTAGGAAGAATTTTCACACAGAGATTAGGATAGAAAGAAGTACAAAGTTTGTTTTTCCCAAGAAAGAAAGAAATGGGGGCAGGGGGAAAAGAGGAGAGAGAAACAGAGGCCCTGAAAATTGAGGAAGGCTCCAGTGTTAAATAAATCAACTTGCTTACCGGTGATGGAGTTACCTAAGGCTCAGCCGTCTCTCCGCGCAGTGAGGTGAAGTTGTTCCCAGAAGATCCCTGGGCAGGAAGGAGCCGGCTCAGGGGTGCCTATGGGGTCTGGAAGGTGACTGTGATGTCCCTGTAAAGGAGGGGGCTGCCTTGTCACTGTTAGGGCACCGTCCTGGTGGAACCTGCTTCCTGGGTCACACCTGACTCCAGTGACCAGTTTGTGACAGTCAAAATAGGATATATGTCCCAGGACAGGGCATGGCCCTGGTCTGCTCTTGCCTGAGCCTCCTGGGTAACTCTCTCTGAAAAGTCCCCCTTAGAGTGACAGCCACCGTTTGGAAAGCTTCCTTCTGCCCAGCACCTAGTGTGGCCTTTCCCCTGGGTTTTTCTTAGGGGAAATGCAGCATCTCAGGCATCTTTCTAGATTTTTGGAGTTTATGTGGACCCCAGGGCTGACGGGGGGATGAAGTGCATTGCTAGTGGGTTCCGCCATCCCTAGTGTCAGGATTTAAATTAGCATAGAGGCAAAAGGCCAGAGCCAATCATGAAATGAAGAACTGGATTTCTCCTGGTTCTGAGTAGTTTATGAGTCTTTTGACCTAGCAACCTCTCTGAGAGGGAGGTAGGGAGGGAGTTTGAAACAGCCAGTTTGGTGAAGGCGGCCAGGGAAGAGTGGTGCCCTTCACCGCAACTGTGAAAGAGAACCTTATAGGGACGGTCGCATGTTGATAGAGATGTGGCCAGAAAGTAGCACTGCTGACTTCTGACTAGACCTGGCCCTGTGATCTCCCCCGGAGGCCAGGCGGTGTCAGGCCCAGCGCTGGGCTTTCCCTCCACCAGACCAGAACACTCCCACCCACTCCACTTTGTGTTTGTGACCATGTGCGAAGCGCTGGAGATTTACCAAATTCTGAAGGAGGGCACTGGATGGAGTCCTGGGAGGAGGACGGCAGAGGAGGGAGCAGTTAGAGAGAGACACAGGAAACTGAGCTTCTCATGACAAGAGGGGGGGCAGAGAAGTGACTCCCTGCGACAGGGTTAGAAAAGTGACTCAGTTTCTCCTCCCTACAGACCACCAAGCGTCAGGGTGAAACTTCCTAGGTGAGCAGCTCCTGCCTTGCGCACCGTCCAGCAAGGATCGTGTGGCTTGTCTGAGAACATAGGCGCTAGGGCCAGCCAGCGAGTGTTCAAACCCTGGGTGTGTATGTAACCGACTGGTCGTGTAAAGCAGGGCAGGTTACTGGACCCCTTTTTACTCCTGGCAAAACAGGGTTAGCAAGAACACCAACTTCTTAAGTACATATTAATATATTAATTAGTAGAGTAAATATATTTAAAGGGTTTAAGTTTGCACCTGGTACATAGATAGCTATATATACTACAAGCAAGTTCTTTTCCTAGGAAAGCGATTTTTCTTTAATGGATATGTAGAAAACAAATTTTTTTGGACAAGCTCTGACCCGAATATGGCTTTCTTTTTTTAATTATTAAAGTTTGTTCCAGTGAAACACTTGGCATAAATTTTGTTGTGTCCTTGGACTTCCTGGAAAAATGAGAATTAATCTGAAGAGAGTTTGAAATTAAGGTATTTTCTTGATTATAAAAGCGGCTTATATTTTTTCAGGAAGATGATAAAGAAGAAGAAAGTTATGTTTTACATTCAAGCCACGATGAAGATCAGACTGAACTTTCAGGAACAATTCATGATATAAATTCATCTTTAATTCTTGAAGCACCTAAGGTATTTAGCAAATGTATTTCCCATTTGAGTGATTTGCTGCGAGCTGAAGTTTCTAAAAAGAAAAGCTTATTCCTCTCTCTTAACTAAATAGATATAAATTAATCTCCTCTCTTTTATTTTTTTTAACTGAAATCATTTTTTTCCTCTACCACAATGCCTATGAAAGACAGAGACAAAATATAAGGCATTTTCAATGAACAGGTGTACCTTATTTTATAACATTAAAATATTCATATTTTATATGTACATTCCTAAAGTTTTAAGGGAGTAGAAAATAAACCTACATTTGAAGTGCTGTGGAAAATGGAACTAACCAAAAAATTTCATACTGAATCCTTTCTAAAGAAAAGAGCTGTTTAGTGAAACTCAACTTTATGCTTTGATTTTAGAAAATGTATTTGGAAGGTTTTTCTTTTTCATTCTTAAAAGGAATAGTGCTTTTCTCTCCTCCGTCACAACTGTCCAGGGATGTCATTGTAGTGTGTGGACAGCGTCTCCAGCTGATGCCCATTCCTGTAATGCCTATTGCAGTTTTTAGCATAGACATTTTTTGTAAAAGTTTTGTAACCATGTGATGTATTCAAATACATGCTCTAATCACAATTTTTTTTTTAAATAACCAAGTTGTAGTATTCAGTATATGATGTATTCAAATACATTCTCTAAGCACAATTTTTTTTTTTAAGTAACCAAGTTGCAGTATTCAGTATGTGATGTATTCAAATACATTCTCTAATCACAATTTTTTTTTTAAATAACAAAGTTGCAGTATTTGGTATGTGATGTGATATATTCAAATACATTCTCTAAGCACAATTTTTTTTTAAATAACCAAGTTGCAGTATTCGGTATGTGATGTATTCAAATACATTCTCTAAGCACAATTTTTTTTTTTTAAATAACCAAGTTGCAGTATTTGGTATACTAAATTAACCAGAGCTTTGCCTCAGTGACGTTTAGCTGTGAGAAGGAAGCAACAGAAAAGAGCACTTTACACTTGGTGATGATGAGTAGGACTTAAAATGGGAAATATCACTGGTCTCTTAGAAGGAATTGGGCTTCCCTGTGTCCAGCATCCAGAGGGTCCCCAGCGCTGGGCCAAAGCACAGCAGAGTCATACATTCATCAGATATTAGCCAACAAAGTTTCTGTACATTTAGTTTCAGAGGTATGTCCTAGCTGTTCTGATTAGTGAAATAAAAATTAATTCAAAAGTATATGGTATTCATTCCTTTTTATCATATTTTCAACACAGTTGAAAAAGACATTTTTCTATTATTTGGTATATTATAAAAGTCAAACTCAGGGTACTTAGACATACTCCCCTTTAGTTTATAGAGAATGTTTTTTGAATATTTTTAATAATCATAATTTCTTTTAAGTTACTTAACCTTGAAAATCCTGACCTGTTAAATCTTTGCTTTCTTAAGTGATAGTGTGACACAAACCTATATTTTATATCTGTGTTTTACATTGAGTGTGTGGACTAAGATGAGATCAGGCACACTCAGGGTGAGATGGCCGTAGCCTAAGTGCATGAAATATCCAGTGTAGCAGTTTAATAAAATTCCTATTT